CACAGACAGCCTCTCGACAATATGCGTTTTTGCTGGCTGTAGCAGCACAGCAAAAACGCATAAAAATAGAGGGACTGTTCCTATCCGTATCTTAATTTGAAATTTAACAGAACACTTGCTTATAGTTTATCCATTTAAAAAATCAACAAGATCGGCTAGACTGACGGTGTTTGAATCCAGTGCTGCTGTTATTACCGGGATATACTAACCTTCACCAAACTGTTATTGTAATCCAGTTTCTTATTAAGTTTTCATTTTATTTCATTTATTTTATCAGTGCCACAACCATCGTTACTGACGAGGTCCAGCTGTGGCGCTGAAAAGGAATGTGAACGACTTAATGAACGGGAACATTCCTGCTCATCTAATTTTTTTGATATAATTTTATATATATAATTTATATCTCTATCGTGTGTAGATGGGCTGAGAAACAGTAAGCGGACACTGGGAGAAAGGGACAACAGAATGACAATGAAACGACCGAAATGATCAGTAACAAGTACAGGTCAGGACGCATGAACTGGTCTACGTTACGTGTCTGGACGCGTTTCAGTAGTATGGAGAGTTCCACAGTAGTAAACCGAGTGATTTTAGTGACATTTTAGATCTATGACGACATCAGTAATTAGATGTGCACGTTGGAATCAGTTAGCGCATTCCTATTTACTTCCAAAAATCATGTAATTGTTTAAAAGTGCCTAGTTCAGGAAATTCTGGTTAAGTTACCAATTTCTTTTCATTTCAAAGTGTTGATAGGCGGGACGCCAGCCAGGTTTTGCTAAAAGCTAGACAGCAATCAAGAGAAAATAATCACTGTGCTGGAAACGTCACGTTAGTCAACCAGTTAAAAAGAAAATTTTAGAAATTTTCTTCCAGCAAACCTGTTTGATGATGCCACCACGCAAGTCATGATTCGGGAATAGCTGTTTAACATTCAGCAAGATATTGCCAAATTCCAGCATAGTGGCTTTTTTGTTGATAGGACTTGGACTTGCATAAAGCAAATCAACCCGCCCCACCGCTTCCTGGAATTGCTAATAAATACCTAATTCACCAACACAATCAAATGAAAACAAATATAGATTATCGAACGAAAAATTAAATGTCAAAATTCTTAAGGCAGCCACTGAAACTTTTAGATGGACACGCGACAGAGTGGCACCGTTTTTATTGGATGCTGCAACAACTGACTTTGTTAAGGTAATACCCAAAAAAAGTGTTCATTTTTTCCCGGAAACGAGACAAAGATATGAAATAATTATACCTGCAACTTGTGTAAGCCTAACTTAGACAAGAAATATCGCACTTCTTCAGCAACCATAAACATAAAATTTATCACATGCTCTGGCTCTCCTTTGAATTTAGCTCGCAAAACTGGATCCTGAAAAGAACCGATTATGATCGTCATCAACAGATACGCAATAAATGCACCAGTGTGCACTTGATCAAAAAGCGAACGGTCTTGCAAATAATAGTCTGGATAAAGAACCACGGCTAAAACACAGGAAAATCAAATGATTTAATTTATCAGGGTTCAATTATCATCCGAATATGACGACAATGCAGTTCGCACGACTTCTCATTATATCAAATTTGTGACTAAGGGAGCGTAGTGAAAGAGTGATACCTGAGTGGCGATACCCACTGGGCAGGTATTCAGATGACACTTCCTCATCATGATACATCCAAGAACTATTAACGGAGCTGTGGACATGCCAAATTCATCCGCGCCCAGCAGTGCTGCTATCATAACGTCGCGCCCTGAATATTTTAGGTAAATCAGTGACGGGGCATGTGATGCGACCATGCTTTTTTATGTGGACCTCAAATCAACCAGGTCGTTGTATACATGCGATTCTTGTGTGTGCGTGTGTGTGTGTATGCACGTATGCACTGCATTTTGAAGACGGAGTCATTTTTTGCACTTACACCTGTGGAACCTGCAAATATCGGACCGCTAAAAGCAATGGCCATTGGTCCCTGTGCCTTAGTCTTCCAGCCGAGCCTTTTAATTTTAATGCGTTCATACTCATCAAGTGTCAATCTGGGACAGAACACTTCACTCTAGATATTTGCTAACAGGAATTACAAGAAATAAAAGAAATCGGGAAGTCTGAGGAATAATTTTTGACTGTTAAGATCCCTCGAACCCTAGTTTATGCTTTACATGAACAGTTGATAACGAAAAAAAAGTAAAAATTTTGGCTTATCTGATTTGCTACGCTTTAATTAAGTAAAACCAGCTTGAATTAGGGCTGAGAGGCCATAATAAGTGAGGTAAAGCGTTGCACTGGAAGCTGATTTAAAGATGCTCGCGTCAACTGCTTAGTGAACTGTTGTTTCTCTAATACAAACTGGAGTGCCTGCCCAGCACGACAGTAGAGCAGATGCAGTGACCATAAAACCGAATCCACGAAAAATGACAAGTTTTTTCTCCCAAGCTGACTGGCTCTTGTTTGAGATTTTGATGAAAGAATCTAGGGACGGAGAACTTAAGCGCTATTACTGCGGGTCGAGCAGCACTTTGCGCTAAGTAGAAAGACGGACGATTTGATCGTAGATTGGTTTTGTGTCACTGAATGTCGCACATTTTGCATTAGTGCTTTTATTAAAACAGTTCTTGAACACGCAACAAAGCAGAATCAGAATGAATTAACAGTACAGTGTAGTGAAAAAGTATCAACCACTGAGATATCACTGTGAAATTACTAGGACAAATTCTGCATCGAAATCCACAAATCACCCAAAAGTCGTTGTTACATACAACATCTGGACTGCGTACCATAATGGACAAGACGCTTTGAAAGAGCGCTCAAATCGGATTTTCCTCAGTTCCTCCCAAATCGAGCGTAGAAGCGTCCCAGCTGGTTCGGCGGAATTGCCACTGTTGAACAACGCAACTCGAAATTTTCGGATTTTTGAGTAAAAGATCAGAAATTTCTGGAAAACTTTAGCCGTTGCATTTCACACAAACTGGCCAAAAATGACCGACAAATACCAGCAACGGAGGTGTAATCAGAAAGAACGGCGCAACGCAATGCCGGAATTTTTGCGGTTTGCGGCGCCGAACCATTTCCTTTCTCCGAGTTATCCTTTTTTCTTCTCCACCGGCAATCTCTGGACAGTACAGTGACGACGGCTGCAAATTTTTTCCCCTGCCGGCAGCGAAAAACACCATCCGCATGGCGCTGTACTGCTGGACCTCGCAACTTTAATGCCACGCGCCCTTGCATCGGGAAATTAGCAGCAAATTCGCAAAATCAGTTGGATGGCAAATCGTCAGAGCACAACCTCGCTCGGCTACGTCTCCTAAAACCCCCGCTGCCCGTGCTGCAAGCGCCGCTCACCACAGACTGATCTAACCGACCGTCCCGCTCTCATCCGGTGCAAACACTGGAAAGTGGAGCGTGCAAACTCTTTAAATACCGCAAGCTATGCAAGTTTCACCGCGACAGTTATGCAAATGCTGCTCGTTGCTGTTGGAATTTGTAATGTTTTTATGCAAGCAATTTACACCAAATTATCTCAGCAATGTTGCATATTAGCGCAGCAAAATGCTAAACATTTGAACAACTGGCACGGTGAAATTTGCATAGCTTGGTATAAATAGAGTATTTTCGCACTTCACTTTTCAGTGTCTGCATTGCAACGAACCGGAGGCGTTTGGTTGGATTGGAGCTGCTAAGGATGATCAAAATCGCTTTGCCGAGGTGCGACAAATTTCCAGA